AACTTGTAGATGCCGTTGAGAGTGATTTTCTGTTCTGGTACATTCCGAATAGCCATCGTTATTAGAGCGATGTAAGAATAAGGTGGCTTCTGGAGAGACGGCTCGGGTCGGTTCTCGGAGCTAGAAGTCGGGACTGCCCGGGTTAAGGGATCTCTATTAAAAATATCAGAGGAGTTATTTGGAACTGTTCTGGAAGAAGAGTAAATTATTCCAGGCAAATACATGAAAGACTGTGATTCTCCGAAAGTGGGATAGTAAGTACTAACTGTCGCCATACTGTCAGGACTAGAATTATTACACAATCAGAAGTTTCGTTCTAGTCAAGGTGTTAATTACCTCATATCTTACAATTCTAATACATGTATCGGCCTATAACTACGAATGTTCTGCAGCTGTTCGCTGAACGACGAAATCTTCTTCTTCGGGTATTTTCCGTCTTATTATCAATACTCAAACGGATATCTGTTGAATCGCTTACGAAAGCAACAAGTCGTTGCGACGCGCTGTAAACACTTACATACTTTTGTGGCAAAGATATGGCAGAGCTCGTGCTGCGTGATCACTGCACGACGTTCTACGTTATCGGGAATGATGACATGGAACAAAACGAAGTTTATATATATATATAACTCGATAACGGTATGAGAACGAACAAGTGCAGGCCTAACAGCTATGCTTATCTAAACGGTTTGAAGGCGTTGACTGTGAAATTACTTCACGAGGTATTTTCTGATTCAACAGGAGCATGGGTAAAATAAACTGAGACACCGTTAGTTTCGCACCGATTCCGTGTTTCCTTTCTCTCTAACGATTTATTACAAAAACAGCCCACTGATTAGATTCTACAAGATCACCCGATCAGCTGCTCTTATACAAACACTCGAGAAACGGAAAGGAGCCAGTAGCAGTTACGCAACTGCCAGGCTTAATGTACTTGTAGCCTCCTAAATCCACGACCTTCCCAGCTCGGCCCCTGAAGCCTTCGATCGTCTTGTAATAGATAAACAAAGAAGCTTTCACTTTGTTTGGCGTTGGATGTGTTTGTGTGTCAAAATTGACTTTTTCCTGAGTGTATAATGCAGCATAATACAAATACCATGTCATGAAGGTGTATTGTCCGTGAGGCCCACACACGTCACTTTAGCATAACTGGCGGCTGTGTCCAATCACTAAGACGTCGGTCCTATTTATAAACCTCTAGCAACTCATTATCACAGCCCACCCAAGAGATGATGATTTTTTTTTGTACCTTTAACAAAAAACATACAGCTGTTGAAAGGAGAGAAGCTGACCACCCCATATGTGCAAACACCGGACAGTAGTAGCACGATACCTCTCACAGCTTCGCCAATGTGTACATTACTTTTAAAACCACGATCTACAACTTCCCTCATCCCACTTTCTAGACCTCTACATGTGTTCGCTTACTCAAATAAGAGCTTACAGACCGACAGGCAATGGGGATGAACAGCGAAACCTAGAAAGAAAGAAAAATAAACAAAGAACAAAAACTGAAATAGATAGACATTGAAATGTTGAACAAATTAACATAAGTATCGAGCAGTGATAAAGATTTGCAACTTTCAGTGTTGGGATACAATAGTTAACTACTAACACGGATCGTTATCATACTCTGTAGCAATGAATCTTGGACAGTGCATATAAAAGAATTCAGAAATCAATCTCAGAGGAATTTTTCACGGCCTTAAGCATTACACCTTTTCCTTGTTGTTAGAAAGTGTCTATAATCTATTAACAAGAAATTGACAGCTGAAAAAGAAAACAAAAAGGGCACGAAATTCAGAAGGTACACCACATAACTAGTTTTTAAGATACTGCTGACAGCTGGAAAGCGATACATTAATTACATAAATATCAGCTAAATCTGAGCAATTTTTAATGCAAAATATAGGCCCTTATACATTATAAAACGTAATAGAATACATAATAACAGAGTACAAATCTATCTGTGTTATCTGTTGTAAATGAATGGGAGCATACTAGACTTTTAACTATTCTTTTTTTTAATGGACACAATAACATGCTCACTACTAAATTAAAACATAAATACAGTATATTTCAAAACGTGTTACACCCTTATTTATGTTACAGTAAACATGAATCAGCATTCTAGTAATTTTATGTTACAAACTTTCACGGCGTTTATTCGGATCAATTTTAAGTCAACCAGGTGTAGGGGAACACCCCCAGGTCTATGTCTGAGTGAGGGGAAAGTTAATACCTGTTAATGACTTTAAGGCTGCCATTCACTATATGCCTACATTTTACCATATCCCCTTCAGATACAACGATGTCCAAAACTCGCCATAATGTCCCCGGTGCCTCAGCGGAAAGTCTGAGAGCTTATAATGCCAAAACTCGGTTTTAGATACCTGCGATGGGCGGGTCACATGTAACCCACTGTGTAGCTGTGTCTTTAATAACAAACAAACAAATACCACAAAACTCAGGTTCAGGATAGTCATGCTTCTACTTCTTCGTCTTGTGACACCCAGATAAGTGCTCTTTCAACTGAACTAAAGAATTAACTCAATAGCGCTTCCTGTTGAGTCACTTTGTAACAATTCAAACTACTACGTTCTTCTCTTACAAACAAGACCCGTCCTCAAGCCTAGTTTCAAGGTCGTCGGGTGTCCACTAGTTGGGTGTCAATGTGGTGATTTGATTTTTATTAGAATATATTTCACTGCCTCTTGGAACAGAGACCTGTTACACTCAAGACGAGTGCTCTAACAACTGAGATAAAGGGTTAACCCACTATCACTTGCTAGTACGTCACTCATACTGCTATAGATTCTGGCTGTTTAGCTCTACTGGATGCTGGGATAAAGATGAGTCTTGCGAAACAAAGGTTGAAGATGGATAGAAGATCTTACACGTCTACACAGGACAAAAAACAGAGGAATTATATTATACCACGCTTTGAATTCAGACAAAGAGCCCCAAAATATTGTATACCATAATTTTCCTAGCTACATAAATCACAGATTATCCCAAAATAATGAATATGAGAGAGAGAAAAAACTCCAACTCATATCAATCCGTACAAGTTTCTATGTGACCCTTTAAGACGATATCGCCCACTACCGCCTAGAGGTGGAACAGAGACAGGGCCAAAATGGTTCAAGCTTCTAAGTAATAGTCGTTGTCAAAATGTAACTTTACCCAAACATGAGGAATAGATATGCTTCATGACCTTCGACATTCGATAAACAAGAATGTCTTAATTACATACAGAAAATCTGCATGAGAATTTAGAAAAGCTATGTAAGTATACCCAACTAAAGATACATTCTGAACTAATAGCTACATCACATATAACAACCCACTAGAAAATGTCCTTCGACATTAAATTGTTATCTATAATATGATTACTGTCAAGTTAAAATTAAAGAGAGTTATCGCACTTTATAGAAAACGATTTTCATGTGCTGATACAGTGCTGAGAGTTGTGGCACCACTTGCCACGTGTTTAGCACATATATATATATGTGTATATATGATTCACGGGTAGACTAACAGCTGAGCACACATGTCTCAGCCTTTTCTGTTGAACATTATTTGTAAAGTGAGATTATTATACGATGTAGTGCCAAAAAACATAGCATTTCGAAGAAAGGAGCCTTTGTTGTTCTTTAAGCATGAGAAAAAACAGTAGAGTGTTGAGGACAGTGAGGGGCTCCGAAACAAAACCTCAAATCAATCTGTAGCAACATTCGCATCCTCAAAGTGAAGATTATAGTTACAAAAAGGAACCTTCCGACCCATAAAAAATGCAATGAAGCTAGAAATACATCCCGGGGCTGCTAACAAGATAGTAGATGATAATACGAAGTTAGCGAAGACTAACCAAACAGAAATCAGCAGGGTTCCTGCCACACCTCAGGGTTAACAACTGGCTGGAAAAACTGAAATCGCAGAAATTTCTTTCGATCAAACATCTATCAAGTCCCCCAAATTAAAGCAAACAAACTTAGTCCGCTTGAACACGGTTTTAAAAAGTCGATGTTTATGTAGAGTGGAATGGCTGTGGAAAATATGTCAAGATAGGCGATCTAAGATTGATCTCGCCGTCTTTCCCAGAAGAATATTGCAATGGAAATTGTTGTAACGATGATGTAAGAAGTCGATCGAAGGGCAACACAGGACTTAGAGTGTTGTTTTTATAAAGTGCTATTGTCCTTTAGTAAACACACTACCGTTTAATATTTTGGTATATACATTAATAAAAATATTAAAAATTCAATACCAAGCTTTCTCTCTCTCTCTCTCTGATCTGGCCCGACATGGCCAGGTAGTGCGCTCGGCTCGCAATCTACTGGTCGTGGGTTCGGATCCCCGTCACACCAAACATGCTTGCCCAACGAATAGTGGGATTGACCGTCACATTATAACGCTCCCACGGCTGAAAGGTAAAAGAGTAGCCCAAGAGTTGGCAGTGGATGGTGATGACTAGCTGCTTTCCCTCTAGTCTTACACTGCTAACTTTGGGACAGCTAGCTCAGATAGCCCTCACGTAGCATTGCACAAAATTCAAAAAACAAACAAAGAATTTCCTTGTAAACATAGAGAAAGTAAAAAAATGTGTTGCAATTTTGCCAAAAATATTTCTCGGTATTGATTATTCAATTGTATGAAACAGACTGTTCTTGTTTTACACAAAAAAATTAGTTTTCCAACCGTGTATTATTTTTAATATTAAATTGTGAGTATTCAACAGTGCTTACAGCTGAAGTTTAAATAAAACTTGGGAAAATGTTAGTTATTACATGAAGAACCATTTTATATTAACTTACATTTTTATAAGAGAATGATGTAAAAGATCATTAATTTTTTAAATATTGCTTAAGATTCAAAATACTTTTTTTACCCAATTATTGAAATACCTTCTATTAAATACTGAAATTTACAATAATGTCAGTGTCTTAAATAAGCTTATAACTTCTTAAACAGAAACTCAAATAACATATTTTCACTAGGTTAGCTTCTGTTTTGTGTCAAGGAATCTTGTGCAAGATTCGAGATATTCTCAGGTACAAGTCATACACACACTAACTTGAGGCCTGGTAGAATAAAGGTTGCAGAGTTACATCTGAATTCCCATCCTGAATGAACTGAAGGAATAGACTGGACAGAAGTTTGCAATGAAATGAAAACAAAATGCTTTGTTAAACATAAGACACAAATATATTTCAGTAGGTATGTGTGCATGAAAAAAAAGACGGCACAAATATTTTACTGATGAGAGCTCTATCTCAGAGGAAGATTTGAAGGAAACACTTTAGAAGACTGAGAAAACTAATTACTATATATATATATATATATATCACACTAGTGTCAGTTGTTCCAGAGTGTACTTTGTCATTACCCGATTACAAATAGGGAGTACACAGCTTCCAGGTATTCCTAAAACTCTGCACAACTAATGTCACCAGAGAACAAACTTAATAAAAGACTAAGGAATTTACCAGCGGTATCTTCTGTGAGAGAGTTCAGCAACACCAAAAAATGGGAACAACTCTTGACAATATGAGGCTTGTTCTAGAATAACATTTCAAAATTCCAGAGCTGGTGTAATTGCAATTTAAAAACTATATTTGTGCTGAACAAGTGTGCAAAAACTTTCAGAAATGCTGGTGAACAACAAACATTCACCTTTCTAAAGTAAAAGAGAAAGAAATATATGGTATTTTACAAAATATCACAAGTATCTTTTTTAATAATTTTCATAAATCTTCAGGTCTATGTCTTGTTAAGTGGTCTTATTTTGACTTGAGCTGGATCTATATGGGAGAATGCCCATAAATTTTATGCATATAATTTTTGAACTGGTTAAAATAAATTTAAGCATCAACTTTTAACATGTACAACTGTTCATATTTGGCTACAGCTTATTAATCAAGGCTGGTTTGGATTTGAACATCCAAGACAATGATGGATGGACCCCTCTTCATGCTGCAGCACATTGGGCACAGAAAGAAGCTTGTGAACTCTTAGCTGACAACCTTGCAAATATGGATATCCAAAATTTTGTTGTAAGTTACTTTTCTATTACATAAAGTAAAATGACTTAAAAAATCCTATATATGTATATATTTTTTTTTGTTAAATATGTATGCAGATATATAAGGTTAGTACAATTATTCTATGTGTAGTTTTAGTTTTCAGTTAATGTATGTTTGATTGTTAAGAGACTTGGAAAATGAATTTATTTCAGAGATCATAGAAAATTGATAACCTTTAATAGAATGCTGGTACACTGTGAATATACGTTTGTCTTCTGAAATGTAGTAATGAAAAATTAAATGAAAAACGCATTCATCATAAATGAAATTTCAGTGCTAATGATTGACTTCAAGGTAATAAACACAAGTTTTAAAGTTTTTGCTTCTTTAAGGAAGTCAGCTGGAGAAAATTGCTTTTGTTTTAGTCTTTATTCAAAAAATATATATAGGAAACATTATTGAAGTAAAAGAAATTACTTATTTATGGTTCAATCTTTTTTTGTTTAAATTATATTCTTTACTGACAAGGATTTCAAAAATATTTTTATCTTTATTGTTATTTTAGTAGATCAGATAACAGTTATAATCATTCAAATGGTGATACAAGTGTGAAACTTAGCATGGATGTTAAAATTGGATCAATTTTAAAGACAAAATGTTTACCTCTAGAAAATCAAAGATGGCCACCATTTTGCCATGTGAATATCTTTTTTTTTTTCAATACACAAATTTGCTTAGTTGTCTAATTTCTACACTGATGTGTTAGAGACGAGTAGTTTATACATTTTGATAAAAAGGTTAGAAAAAAAACAACCTTTATACTACAGATAATTGTAAAAGAACTTTTTATTTCAACTAACATTTTGCCTTTGTGGCTTCTTCAGAGTTAATACCTGTTTGATATTAGAATGTTCATAAATTATAAAATTGCTTTATCCTGAAGAAGCCACAAGGGTAAAACGTTGGTTAAAATAAAATCTTCTTTTATAATTATCTGGATTATGAAAGTCATTTTTTGAACCTTTTTATCAAAATGTGTTAATCCCTTCTCTATGCACTACAAATTTTGAGTAGTTTATGATGCAAGTGAAGCTAGTGTTACTATTATTACACCTACCAAATAACCCTCATAGTTTAAATGGCCACCATTTTTCCACATGAATTGTCATGGAGCAAGTCAATTAATTGCCTTTTCCTGATCTTTGCAAACACTAACATGACCATGTACACACAAAATAGATTCTCAATATTTTGCTCTTGCGTTTGGACTGCAAAATTTTTCATAGCAAGATCTGATTTAAACACACCACTTCTAAGCTGTGATTTGATATCTGCATTGTCTTCAGTCATGTGCACAAATTTAAGGAGTGCTAATAGGATGACTTTTTCAACACATTCTTCATGTTATGTGTTGCCACAAGTCGACTTGTGATAAAGCATCTTTCTGTATATGATTTCAGCTGCTTTGGCTAAGGGAAGAGTCTCATTGTATTCACATGCTTATGCAAGGACCAACCCCAAATCATTCTGGAAGACCAGTAGTACATCCCATCTTTGAAGATGAATTTTCTAGCAGAGACATATGTGACTGGCTGAATTCACATCTGGTGATTCTATACCCAGCTACTCAAGACACTGCTTATAGAGTGTTGTTAGATTCATAAGCTTGAATATAAATATATTTATACCCTTGCTGGTAGCATTTGTCACAATGATGTAGGTTAAAAGATTGGAAAAAGCAGTTGGATATGCTTCCTTCCTAGCTAACTGTTGAGTACTGTTCTCATATCCTTACAATGAGGCTTTCATTACTCAGAGTCTTAGCACATTGGTTAATTTTGTCATTTAGTTTCATGGTCATTGCTTATATTATAGCAGATAGTGTAACCTCTGTCACATAGAAAGCATTCTGATGTGTTTCACTGTGAAGACATTCTTTGCATCTCGTTTTGATTTTCCTCTATGTTGTTTGCAGTTTTAGACATTATTTTAATATCCTTTTATAACTTTGTGTTGTAGAAGAGGAGTCTGCAGCTTTGATGATATTTTGCATTGTGTTTTCTTAATGTAACCTCTATACCACTACCTGCATCTAGTCTGGCTGGGTTCAGCATGATTGGTAAATCGTTGATAACGTGAAAAAAGAGTGTTTGTTGTGATGTTGGCATAGCCATCTTGTTCTCTAATGTAGGAACCTGGTGATGGTAAGAGATCTTCCTTCTTGTCCTGTTAACAAAGGCAACATTTACTTCAGTCAGTTTGCCTTTAGATTTGGTAGAAATAGCCATTTTTAGATGCTAGTAAATTAGTAGTTTAAGGTTGAAGGTATCCTTTTACCATACTTTAACATATGTATGTTGCTGTGTGGGATTGAACTAGCTTCATGCTTTTGCCATACATCCAGTCCCATGTCATCTGTACCCCTCAGGGTGACTAAAATCCTGTCATACTTGGCTCATCTCTTCTATGTTGATTCAGATGTAGTTTCTTATCTAATAGAGAGTTGGTTAGGTAGAATTTTATAAACTAAATTATTCATGTACTTAGATGGCACTGAACTCTTTGCGGAATTACACAGCAGTGATGTCACTAGAGTGCATTGGCATTCAAACTTTTGTCCATTTGCTGGTTGTTCATTCAGGAATATGGGTTTGAAATATTATGTTTAGTTTCAGCATGCTCATGAAAATATAAATAACCACTAAAATCACTCAACAATATCAATTTATGTCAAGAATTGACATTCACAGGAAAAATTGTTGGCCAACTTGGATTTACAAGTGACTAATTTGTTTTTCATGAAATATAACCCAATGAGAACATCTATGCCAAATTTTTTTATTGTATCACAATTTGACCAATTAACCTCCATCCCTTAAAAAAAAAAACCCAAAAAAACAGTAAGTAGGGAAGTTATACTACTGAGTTACAGTAATATTTTAAATTTTATATTCACTGTTTATTTTTAAGGAGTTATCAAGAAAGGTATATATATAAGTTGCAAAATGGAAGTATTTTGGGCTTATATTGGTCATAAAACCAATGCTGTAACCAGTTAAAAACTGAATTTTCAAGCAATTCCAACTCTCATCACTTCTACTAAATGTATATAGATAACTGAATAACCTAAACTTTTTTAAGAATAAAGTATTATAATGGTGTTTATGTATTTGAAAATCATAACGAACTATGTATGGAATTCTTAACATTTTAACATAAAAGTTAATGTCTTTAGTTTGTTACATGGTTACTTTGAAAGTTTCATATAAACTTGAGATCAAATATTCTTTTTAATTTGATTGACTTTTACCATTACTTGGTAAGTGGTAAGTTGAAATCTGAAGTAAATACAATCTGTAATTTTAAGTTGTTTTATTACAAGAGAGCTACACATAGATGACAAATAAGGTATTTTTGGTCACAGAACTGCATTTTTAGGTATAATTTTTGAATATGTAGTGATTTTATTTTTGTGATATTTACATTTAATTACGAGCAAGACCATGTATTTTTGAAAAAAAAAGAATTCTTGATCATCAACTATTATGCAATTGGTGTCTTTATTATGTTTAATTTTAGATGTTATTCAAAATACAGTTGTTTTCTAGGGGCAAACATGCTTTGATGTGGTTGATCCTGACTTGGTTAATGTGTTACAAGATTTAAAGAACAAACAGAATAATGTGAGTAACAATGGAAACTTATTTTCTGTATTCAGAATTTTTTGTTTTTTCTCTTTTTCTGTGATTGGCTTGTGCTTACTAAGTACAAGAAAAACATTGTTCTCGGTATATTTAACCCTATCTGGACAACAGAGTATCTTTCAGGTGTCTAATGCACATCTGCAAATCAAATTTCAAAATTTAAGTAAAAAATAATAGTTCTAACTCTCTTTATGGATTTTTAACTCAAAAATATTTTAGAAATAATATTTTCTAATTTGATAATACTGTTGTAGGGTAGTATGCAAAGAGAATGAAAAAAATGATAATTTTCTTTTCTATGCCACTCTGAAGATTCTCATCTGTAAACAGTACAATTATTAATTTTAAAAAATATTTCTACCCATCCCAAGGCATAATTTAATATTTTTTAAGCAGCTATTATCCCTTGAGAATATAATTATCTGTATGTTGTTTGGCATGATATTCCTACCCCTTTAGTGGTTTTATTACCTTTTGTTACCTTGCTTTTATAATGTCACAGCATATGGTCTGTACAATTATCACAGCATATGGTCTGTATAATTACAAATGAAGCACAACTTTGAAAATAGCCATATGCAGCATTTTGTAGAGCAGTTTATACAACTTGCATCAGTACAGATTAATAAAGTGGTTTGAGCAATAATTTATTGTTTCTTGGGAAAGTAACTATCTAAAGGTTATTTAGGGATAAATAAAGGAATCTCATGGGAAGTTTAGAAGGCTTAGGGACAAACCACAAATCTGAGGATATTGTTACAGTTTCTTTTGACATTATTTACATTCTTCAAATTGTTTTCATGTTAACTTATATCACTTTGAAAACTATGGAAAGTTTTTTTCTGTGACATCAGCTTAGCTTAGCTTAGCTTAGATTTAGTGAGCATGATAGGTGATGGTAAAGGATACAAGTGACTCACATCCTTATGTATTAAATATTGCTCAGTTTATTGAAACAAGACTATTTATTAGATATAAATTGACCTCAAGTCCTAGGTCACTGATAAGTAGTTGTTAGTTTTTGTCATGTTTTGTATGATTGAAAGCTAGAAGTGATAACTACAGCATTCAACAAAGTAAAGTTTATTAATAGATGAATACAGTTTGAAATGATCTGTAGAATTCACATTAATACACTTATTATTTGAAGAAACTTTGGCAGGAAATTACTGTTAAAATGAATTATAATTTCCAATATGAAAACTGTTATTATTATTATTATTATTATTCTGTCACACTTTTTACTCATTCAAAACAAATACAGTAGAACTTTGACATTAAGGGCACCCTTCCAACTGCATCCAAGTGCCCTCTACAGTAAGGTGCTCTTAATGTCAAAAATGAGCCATGCAAAGCTGGATTCCATATTGACCATACTAACTTTCTAAATCTTAGTCTCCATTTTGTTTGGTATATGCATTTAAAGCCTTTTTTGTTACATGTACGTAAGCAGTGTTTCTGTGTATACTGTAAAAACATTGGTATGAAAATACATGTACATGTAAAAAGTTACCATGCATTTGTACATCCACACATTAGGTCATTATCACAAATACATGTATAGCAAACTTATACACTAATTCTGTACGTCATTGGTTATGGTTATACTTTGTAAAAAAGTCTTTAATAGATGATTGTTTGTCACATTTACACTGGTGGTGTTGCAATTGACCCTTGAGAGTCATGACAGTGTCTAAAATATCTGACAAACCTCACTCAAGCACAAATTGTTTTAGGTCAAAAGCCCATTGTTGTGCTTGCACAAATGACTTGATGTTGGTGGATGGTGATTCTGGCTCAGGCAAATGGTTGGCTCATCCTCATCCAAAGTGGTGTCATTACTTTGAAAAGGCTTTCCTGCAATGTTATCTGCAATTTGTTGCTCCCAATCCTGTTCAATTTCTTCTGTGGCTGGAGCATCTTTATCCCAGTTTGCAAACTGTACAGCAGTGAGAACTTCGTCATTTTCAGTTTTCTCTGATAGATACTCCATCAGCTCACTCAGTGGAATATTGTCTTCCTCATCATCTTCAGGAACTGTTAGAATTTCTTCATCCACTTTGATTCCAGGAAGCAGAAGCACTTCTGTACAGTTAATGGCTTCGTCTCCCTGACTGCTTCTGCAGCCCAGTAACAGGCATCAAGCATGTTCACTTCTTTAGCAGCAATATTGGCATCTGTTGAGGTTTTCAATTTTGCTAGGACAGCCTGAAGAAACCGTTTTTTGTAGAGGGATTTCATGGTTCTAATGGTGTCCTGGTCGAGGGGTTGCAGGATCTGGGTGAAATTAGGAGGAATGAACAGGACATACACATTTTAACCAGCCTGCAATGAAAGGGTTAACTGCCCACTTTATCGAGTGCTCATATAGAGAATGTGACTAAAGACACTGCTCTTAATCTGGAATATCGAGGTGCCCATTATTGCAACACTTGTTTTGGTTACAAATAGGAGAAAAAAGAAAGAGACTGAAAAGGTCTGCCCTTAATGTCACTGTGCCCGTTATTTTGAGGTGTCTGTTAATCGAGGTTCTACTGTACACATTAAATGTATTGTGAAAGTTACATTCATGATAAAGTTTGAATCACCAGATAACAGTGCATAAAGTTTGCATGGCCATCTTCTATGAAGTGAATGTACCATAATGTACAAACCTAGTTTAACCTTGTCATGAGTTTGTGTGAAATTCAAACCAAACTTTGTCCTGAGCATACAACTTAACAGAAGCAATGCTATATTTAATGTTTGTAATGAGAGATGGCACTGCACATAGATGCCTTCAGTTCTACTATTTACAGCATATTCAGGAAAGAACATTTTTATTCAAGGTTTTGTTTAGTTTTGAAACATTCAATGCTTATACTTAAAAACCAATGACTTAACAATTAATCATACCCAAGTTAATTATATATAATGGTTCATGTGGAGTAAACTTCTGTTTGTGCAGAAAAAATTATTGGACTAGATAATATCAGAAAAGATAGTTAGCATTTAGGTCAATGTACTTAAGGTAGGCATAGCATCTTCAGTTCAAATGTGGAAAATCACTCACATTTGTATCAAATGGTAGAGTAACTGTACTGTGTCATGTAATTGTAATAAGCTATCAACCTTAGTGTATTATATTTATAACATTTAAAGAAATGTTTGGTCAGTAAACCTTGATACATTTACTGATGACAACTTTTGCCTTTTATTTTCAAGAAATTAAAGCACAAAAAAGCTTGCATATAGTAAGGATATTCTTGTTCAGGAATCATAGTGTGATATGTGTGCAGGTGGGATTATGGGGCAAGGGGGAGTGGTTGCTCCCACTTGTTTTTTTGGGGAATATAGTACACAGTCATGACATCCACAGTAATTAAGTCAGTTTCCACACACACATGCTTATTTTAGTCCAAAGTCCTACTATATATATGTATATATTATCAATAAAGGTGTTTTATGTAGCATTAAGAAACTTCCAAATGTAATCTAATACAAATAAAATTATCTTTAAAAAAAGTGCTAATTCAAAATTTCAGAGACAGATCGTGTAAATAGTATCACATGGACAAAAAATATACAGTGGAACAAAATAATTGAATGTTTGAAAAGTAACTCCTCAGAAATTGAAAGTACCCTTACTAAATGAACAGTTTTGTCCCACTCACCCTAATCATTTGATCAGTACTAAGAATATTTGGCTGGGTATAACCCGGTGGTTAGTATGCTCATACTTTAATTCTGAGAGTTCATGGTATGCATCCCATTGCTACAAACATATGCTACACACTTTGGTGTTATGGATGTGATATAAGAATGATGGTCAGATTTCACTATTTGGTCAGAAAAGAGTTGGTGGTGGGTTCTGTTGATTAGCTACGTTTTCTAGATCTATCATTTCAAAATTATTGAGGATTATACTCAGATAGTGCAGAAATTGTCAACAAACAGTAAGGATGTTTTCAAATTTATTATTATCATAACATAGTTATCCATGTGGTAATACCATGTATTATGGTAACTCAAAAGTTCATAAAAGTGTATTTTGTATACATAGAGGAAGGAATTAAAAAAAAAGTCCATTTATTTATGTACATCAACACATACACACACACACACACAAAAGCTAAGATTTTACATCTATTTAAATAGGAGAATGTTATATCTTCTTTTTATAGAGGTTTGTGTGTACTGTGTATCGTAGGTATACAGTTTACATTTTAGTACTCTATCTGATGGATGATCTTTGTCTGTGTTACTAATTTTAAGAAATATTTGTATTAAAGAACAGACTGACACTTTAGAAATATTGAAGAGCATTCTCTTGTTGGTGACCAGCAGGAGGCCAGGAACTTCTAAAATAATTGTAGAATCTTTACATAATGCAGTAACTAGATCTTTTTTCTATTAATTTGCTAATATGTTAAAATATTATAAAAGAAGTTTTAGAAAACCAATTTCCAATGTCGTTAATAACCTAAATACTGACAGTCAGCATGTGTACACATGTTTCTTGTAGTGCTTTTACAACACATTTTTACCAATGTCAGTATATATACTTGACATTTAAAATGCTGTTAAAGGATTAAATAAAAAGAAATAAAAAATTTATGAGCAAAGAGCAGAAGTTTTCAAACAAAAGTTCAGGAAATTGAAAATTATTGCATGTGTTCTTCCAAGTAGATATTAACATAATTACATTTATAATGGTTTCACATAATTTTGTTTCTTTAAGCTTTTACAGTCACCTTGCCATTTTTGATATGAAATTTATCAAGTTGTGTAAGAAGTAGAATAGAATTTAATATAAGCTGGCAAGAAAGTAAAAAATCTAAACACAGTGGTGATATCATTTTTAAATGTAGCTACAACTAACCCTAATAGGTTACTTGGACCCCATTGTATGTGCCATTGTTACTTTTCACACCACTGTCACTATATATACACATGTTATTTAGTGACAAATGTAGAAAAATACATTTGAAAGTTTTGGTAAACATTATTATGTGACTTAGTATGTTTTGTTGTATCACAGCTTCAAAAGGAGCGTCCAGAACTTGGAGAGATACTAAGAAGAAAAGCCCCACCTCCATTAAAAAGAAGAACTTCTGTAACTCGAATGAGTGGTACAGATAAGAGCAATGTAGTTATGAAAGATACCTATGCGGAACGAGCACAGATTGAAGCTCAGTTGCAACTACCTGAAGAAGAAATAGAAGAAGGTAAAAGTAGTAGTTTCAATTTTTTGAGAGCATTGTTTTCCAAACAAACTGTATAATCTATTAGCACTTTTGCTATGGGCATCTTTTACTGTGCATGTCATGAGGTTTTAGTGAGTTACATTCAAAATTTAATTAAGCTACTTTTTTACCATGGTATATGAATAGATTTGGTATAAAAACATAACTAATAATCCAAATTTGAATATTATATGAATTGTGACACTTGCTCACCAGGCACCCTCTCTTCACTAATTTATTTACCACCCCTCCAAAACGTACGACATTCAACATAAATACTCATTATAGTGTTGTCATTACTCAGGCAAAGCACATTTGTTATAGCCTTCAATCATATTATGTTACAGAGCAACAAACTAGAACAAACTTGCTATGCCCACCTGTCACATCCTCTCTTTCAGAAATTGCCAATTATTTTTCTCTGATGTTTAATACTATATTATATTTATAACCAATAGAAAGCCAAGGTTTTAATCTATCAAATTACATATTATTTTACATTGTTTCCCATACAGAAAATTGTCTATTTCACTTCCAGTTCAAACTTTATTCCCATGGGTAACACATCAATGAGCTTATCCAAATTTTTAACTGCTCTTGTTGCATAGTTAGAAAGCCAGAACAATTATGATAGTTAAGTAACATTGTCTGCTTTTTGCATATTATTATTCTTTGTTCTTTGGTGCATTATTTAATTAAATTAGAAAAGTATTTAGAGCAATAGTACCTGTAATGTAAAAAAGTAGGGTTAAGTGTCATCGACAGTTGAAGGCATAAAAAAAAAAGAAGACCCAGGTAATTACTTTATTTATTCTTTTTCATGTGTATTCATTATTTATTTTTATAAAAGTGACCAAAATGTAAAAAATTAGAAACTTTAAGTTAGATAAGGTTAGATTAGGTAAAATAAAAAATAATAATGATAAAATTTTTCTTGAGATATGCTCGGGAGCAAGTAGCCTGTACATTATGTGATTCAATAGAGTAACATGAACTACGTGTTTGCCAAGTGATTTACAATTCTTATGATGGGAATATTAGTTAGACATGGTTCAAAAGACAATAAACCAATAAAATTTAAGTATAAACAAACAGATATAGGCTGTTAAAAGTTTAAAGCTATTTAGAATAAACAGATATAATTTCATGTTACTGTTTGAAGTCACTGTAGAAAGAGAAAAAAGGTAATTTATATTTACTCTAATTTTCTTTTTGGTGGTTACAAGGTCTGTCAAATTGACTGACCTTGTTTAGAGGTAAGGTAGAGAAAATAACAGATAAGGTATGAAGTTTTTACTCGACAAAAAAGTTTAACATTTATTTAGGAGGTTTTAGATATGATGCAAACGAATTTGAGGTTTTTCAGAGGAAGAAAGGTATTTTTAATTTTAACATGAAAATCCCTTTGCACGCAGAGCAGTCAATACTTTGATTCAAAATATTCATGGAGAGATATTTGGTTAAAATGCTTCATTAAAAATTCTGATTTTTTGTCTACAAGTCACTCTTAATGATTAATGAAAGCTTGTGAAATTTTGTAAAGATACACAAAACATACTAGAAGTTATAGTATACAAACTATAAACATCAATTATGTGGTCACAAACTTGGCTGATTTGACTAAGCTCCTAGCAAGAGAGTTGATATACTAAGGCTTATGATCAGCAAAAGTAGCAAGTTTTATACAATCATTACATGGTTAAAATATAAATGCAGCTGCAGTATAATTAGATCCTGAAACTAGATTTAAACTTCTTTATGTGAGAAAATTTCATTAACATTTTGGCTTAACAATTTCAAATAGAATCTAGAAAAAAAGAAGAAAAACATATATCTTATTTTAAAGCTTATCAGTAGCAATATAACCTAGATTTTAGTATATTTTATAAACAATGGAGGAATTGTTATAAATTGGGCAGGCATATTAAAAACAAAAGATCTAGAAACATTATGAGAAATAAGTTGCCATTTATGCATTTCAGAATGAGTTTGGGCCAAGTGTAACTTAATGATTTGCATGCCTGGACTGTTAATCTGAGTGTTCACAGTTCCTATCCCATTGCCATAAAATGCACTCTGTACAAGTTGAGGCCGTGGATGTGCTATTACGAGTGAAGATTAAGTCCCACAAGATTGTATCAGACAAGAGTAGCCTAAGATTTGGCAGTAATTACAATTTAATATCTCCCTTCCCTTTAAGTCTATCTGCTCAACTTAGGAATGGCTATGTTCAGACACCCTTTGTGCTGCTTTGTGTGAGACTTTGTAAACAAAGAATGAGTTAGTTTGATTCAATCAAAAATGTTTGTAAAATGTTTTATTCCATAGAGAAAGTGATTTGTGGAATAATTATTTATTTAAGTATCATCCATTTAACTCGTACTGCTCAAGATTTTTATATGTTAAACCAAATGGATCTTGTTATCAACAAATTGCAGTTTCAACATGCATAATTACTGCTTCTGATTTTCAGTAAAATTGGAATATTCTGAGGAATATAGTTATATTTGTTGAACTTGTAAGTAAAAAGTGTTGCCTGAAAATAAAATACTTGCAGAGACCCGCAAAACATTTCCGGCCAAATTAGTATCTTTATCGTAACAGTACTACTTTAAATATAACATTTCTAGCACAATACAAACGAATTGTAATCGTAAACAATGAAATGTGTAAATCAACTTGTATATAGGCCATACTTTATAAAACTTTAACTTATGTTAGGCCTAAGTTCGATAAAGAGATAAATTAACAATGTAACCTGTGTAAATTATTTTTTAGTTTAGTTAGGACTAAACTCTACTGTACTTAATATTATCAATAAATAAACTTATAAACGTCAAACCTTTTTTAAAAACTTTGATAAGTTTTTCATATTCTGTTGTACAAAATGGTTAGTAAAGTATATTTACATTCCACTTTTGTTGTTACTTCTTGTTTCATACAGCAATTGTAGTGACTTGATCACTGAGCTTTGCAGCTCTCTGCCGCAGGCAGACTATTTGTCGTCGAGTGAATAATGTGCATGCGCGGTTTTTCTTGTGGAAACATTCTAACTACGCATGCTTATGCAGCAGGTTCTCAGTCAGAAAGCGTAATGGTCGTACATACAAACAAGCAGAATAATAATATAGATTAGAAATGTTAAGGACCATGTATTGAATTATTTAGATTATTCTTAGGATTCATTTGTATAAGCAAATGAAAACAAAAATTATTAATCAATGTCTACAAATACGGACTCTTTCCATATATTGAACTAAATTTTTTAAATCATTCATAGTAACAAAAATAGATAAATAGTTACTCTGAAATGTTACTCTCAAATTAAAAATTTTGTTATGGTTATGTTTTCTGCTAACCAATATAATGTCAAAAAATGTTAGATAATGTAGGTTCTAAGAATAGATCTTCTAATTATCTCAATTGTTTATATGTTGGCAGAGGGTAAAATTGCAATAACAAATGAAGTTGTTGAAGAACCTTCCTTTAACACCAAACTTAATAAGGAAGACCTAAACGTGGGTAAGGTTTCATCCATTTTGGCATTGTTCTCACTTTTTAATCTGAAATCTATCTATAAAGCCAATAAATAATAGCTTTTTTCTAAACAAAAACCTTTAGAAGTTATATAATAAAATATTAACATCACCTAAACATTGTGTACTTCAAACAATTTTATAACTTTTTTTAATGAAAATAATATATTCTTCACAAAAATCCTTTCTACACATTGATTTTTATAGATGTTGTCATTTGTGGAAATAGGAACAGGATCTGATCTATTTTATATTAATTCATGTTTGCCAAAATAGTAATCTTGATGTACATTTTTGACTAGTTAAACAGGATATAAAAATATTAATGATAAATATTTTGTTACAGTTGTGGTTATTTCAATCGTACATTGAAACCTTACTGTGATTTCATATTCATTTTTTATCAAGCATAGTGTTTTTGTTTTCTCATTTCTTTAATAATCACTGTAGTTATCCTGACTTTTTTTTTAATTTAGTAAAAAGAAATGAAGCCAACATTGATGATAGTCTCTCAGAAATCATCCCTTCTCCAGACAAAACTAAAGAAGATTGGGTAAATACAGTTTCTGATTTCTATAGCTTAAACTGCAGTAGTTATCAGGAATAACATAAATTATTTCGTGTTGTAAAACAGAAGGTAGAGAAAATTTATTTAGTGTACTTGAGAGCTAAAACTGCAGTAGTTCAAAAAACTATTCCATGAAGCATATGGTAAAAGTAACATATTTATAATTTTAACATTTTAATTTTTTTCATTAAAAAAGAAAGAAGTTCATTGTATCTTTTTATTTCAGTGTTAAGGTTGTAAAATGATCTTTCAAAATTAGTAACTGTAAATTATGGTAACAATTTTTCTTGAATTAAAAGACTTTTATATTTTCTCTAGCCACCTATATTAAAATCTGCAAATGATAAACTACAAGAACTACAGAATGATGTGGCTCCTTGGAGGAGAAAAATTGAAACAAATATTCCTTCAAATTTACAAGACAACATAAAAGAGCCATTAGCAGTCTTCAGAAAACCTCAAGAAGTCCAACCAGAAGTAGATGTATGTTTGAAATTATCTTTCCACATCTATTATATATACAGTTAACTGTCATACAGTGTGTGAAAAATTAACTCTGTGTCTTTATCTAGACAACTTCTACTCCAGGTAATGAATTCAGGATTGATGATGCTATACCATGTTTTGTGAAAACAAAAAGAGAAATTGTTTTTCTGATTACTTCATATAAGTTTGTGGTTTTTCAAACTTTATAATGATTTTTTTTTCATAAGTACCTGTATCATTTAATATGATTTTATACATATTTCTTCAAGAGTATTTTAGGCAGTGTTAGAGTTTTGGCTGTAATGGATTACTCCTGCCTGTTTCTAGAGTGGGACAAGACACTGAATTCTATACTGAGACCTTCTTCAGGTTGATGTACCTGTAAAATGCTTTAGTATAGAAATTGAAATGTTGTTTCACTCTAGAAACAGGCATGAACAGTCCATTAAAGCCAAGACTCTACCATGATTTCATAGAGTTAGTACTTTTATTACAAGTTCCAACACTTGATCCATAACAAAAATGCAATATCTGTTACAAATTTTCTAAATGTGGTTTTCTTAAGTTCAAAAATTAACAGGTATACCATAACAATAGATTTAACCCACTTACTGATAAACGTACATAGTCAGTACATAGCTTGGTGTTGTATTACTCCTAAAATAATTTAACCAAAGTTTTATACTTAGCTATATAAGTGTTTTGTCTCCTAAGACACTTAAAAGAGCACAGTTTCTGAATTTCTTATATTATTTTCATATAATAAATAAAAGTATAAGAAAGATATCCAGATGAAAACTTTATTCCCTTTGTATTGCCACTGTGCATCCCTTCTAAAAATTTGCCCTCAACCAAGAAATATTTCAATGGAGAAGTAGTAATGATTAAGTAATATATTTCATAATTTTATTCCAGCTTTTAGACCCATTTTATACTTTTATCTGAACATTTTCTATTTATAATTCAGTTTTTATGCTGTGAGTGTAACATTTGTTTTGCTATTGTTGTTGGTCCACAAATTGTTACTTTGGAAGTGTTAATGTATACATTCTGGAAATATCATGGAGGTATACAGGGTGGTTCATAAATGGCCCACTGGAACATAATCTTTAAAAAACATCTTTGGAATTGGACATCAAGATAGGATCCAGTGAAAAGGTTGTTTATGTCAACATTTGTCAGTGAGTTTGTTTAATCTCAAGAGGCATTTTTAAAAGGTCCTAATGTCTGAAAATATAGAATTTTTTATTTTAATTGAAAGATTAGTGATATTTTGAACAACAGCTTGCATATTTGTGACACATTAAAGATACTGATCATCATTAATGAATATTTAGATAGAGAGTATATATAAGTTTTATTATTATTCAGTTGATATGAATACATTGGGACATTGCAAAACATTTTTTATATGGTTCAAACAATCATAACTGTCTTTAAAAACGTTTTACAAGTATTTCTTTTTATATCTGTGTAAATATATGAGTTGTAGTTAGTTTAAATCTGTTGTAATTTAAAAAGGTCAAGTTGCTGGAACATTTTGATTTTCTAGATGTATTATAGTGTGCACGTGTGATCACTGTGTATTCAAAGCTTTTTTATAAGATCGTTTACAATAGATTTTGTTTCTCAACAGGATCTAAAGGCTAATGGCCCAACATCTGAAAGAGCTACAGAGCAAAGGTGAGAAACGAAGTTGTTGGTATGTATAATGTGAAAAGTAGTCTTAAAAAAACATCAACTGACACTTAAGTTTCAAAGTGTATATTTTAAAATAGTACGGCGTAAAGTATGACTATTAATGGCTATACACTAAACTAATATTAACATTAGTAACTTTTGTTATGAAATACTTCTTAAGTTTGTTAAATAAATGCTCTTTATAATAAGTATTAATGTGTGTCAAAACATTATTTTCCAAGTATATATAATTTAATATGTAAATTATTGTTTGCAGAGCAGATTGAAACCTGTTTATTTGCAATTGAAATGTTAAGCTTGAAAAAATGTATTTAGTTCATACAGTTTCTGTGTGCTAGTGGTAAATGGTGAAGTATATGCAATTCCCATGGTATTTTACTTCACTTACAATACTGATGAAATATTAAAATGAAAAATATGATTTTTTTTTAAAGTTCTTTTGTTTCTTAATATTAGTTCCACTTTGATTTCAAATATCATTGTTTATTAATATTACTCTCACGTGAATTCTTATTAAATATAATGTATTAAAAAAATGATAAATTATTTTATAATCTTACAATTTTGATTCAATAGATTATTTCTTCAATCTTTCGTAAATCAAGATTTAATTTTGCATTAAACATATGTTCAGCCACTTAAGTGTTTTTCTAGTTTTTAAGTTGTTGTTACTTTTGATATTTATTTTTAATTCAAAAGATTGCATTCCGTATATGTTTTCCACCAAGAGCAAATATAACTACTTGAACTGTATTTTTAGATTGAATGAACAGAAGTATTAATGCTATAAATATTAAATTCTGTTTTAACTTTTAAGAATATGCTATTTTAATATAGACAAATTAGTACAGAAGAAAACCTTACATATGAAACAACTTGTGCTACCACACCTTCTACTCAAAGCAGCCCACCCATAGGTGTTACAACACCACCACTAGATGGACAAATTAGAAGGTACATTTACATATATAACAATGTATTTTTATATCTGATAAACTAGTATCACAATTTATGTAAAGCTGATAGTAGTCATTTATCTAAGTGTATTGTGTTTCAAGAATATTTTTCAAGACAATGTATATAAAATGCAGTGATCAATATAGTATGTATGTTATTTTCTATGAGAATTATTTTTAGTAACATTAAAAGTTGATCACCTTCTCTGACAAAAATTTTATTTATAATACATCTGCACTTACAAATAAGGTTGAAGTTCATTCACTTTAACATAAACTGATAAGTGATTTATTGGTGTATAGGTCTTTTGTGCCTCCAGTACGAGATGAAGAGTCAGAAACTAGAAGGAAAGCCCATGCCAAACGTGTGAGAGAAACACGTCGTTCCACTACAGTAGGTTTAAGTTTCTTTTCTTTTTAGTGGTAATAAGATTAATGAACAACTAAAGGGAGATTCACTTCATGACAGCTACTGACACCATTTAACCTACAAATTACAATCAAAATGTAATTGAATGTTCATTGTAAATAACTACTAACACCAGTTAATCATAAAAATTGTAAATATAACATAATGTGAATTACATTCTAAAGTAGATACTAACAGCAGTACACATAAAAGTAATTGCTAGGAAGTAATGAATTCATAGAAAAATAGCTTAAAGCAACAATTACTCATAAAGTTGCAAACAGAACTCGGTCCTTATCACACCGATTAATTTTTTCTGTATGATTGGGTCAAAGTGCACTTGTCGAGACCTTTTACAGTTTTATATTCAAAATTTAGTTAAGCAATATTATCAATGTATAGTAATAAAAATAGCATCAAAATGTAATTTATAATTCAAGTTCTTATATTATCTAAGTTTTAACTTTCTAATTTCAAAAAGATGCATTTTTAAAAAATCTTTAACTTCAATTTTCTGTGTCACATCACACACATCTGAATTCTGTACATCAGAACTTTCTAAGATAGGATACTGCAGTTTCCAGCCAATTACTATACGTAATTACAAGCAAGAACCTAAAAGTTGAACTTCTTACCTTAGTTTCACATTTCAAAGGTTGGTCAAATCAAACAACTTCATTTCTATAAAGTTAAGCTTTAATATTTTATGAAATAAATACTGTAAGTATTAGGTTTTTTTAAGTAATTTTTTTTGTATTTATGTGATTAACCAATCATTTGATAAATGAAGCATATTTTGTAGCCTTTAAGTGTTTTCATTGTGATAAAGTTGTTGAGTACATTATATTGTTATGGTCCTATAACACCATATCTGATCATGCTCCATCTAACAACCCCACACAGCTTGAAAAGTAACAACCCTGTTGCATAGTTTCCACTACTGAAGGCTCTGTCATAAAGTTATTATGCCTAAAACACACCACTTCATAACCTATCTGGCAAACAGTTGTCCTTATCAATTGTCTAATTACATGAAAACCCATAGTTGTGCATCTGGCAACTTGATCAGTTTTATGTACAGAATACCTTGAATATCCATTTACTTCTCATTAAGGTATTTTGTGGAAGCAACTTTTGTATACATGACTTTTTCGAATGGCAATCCTTCTTAGTTATGTTTTGTGGTATTAACCAGAACACATGATAAATTTTGCCACTGACCTTTGTGTTACAAGATACTAAAATTTGCATACTGTCTGGGCTATGGATTATTGTAGATCTGTTTTTGGATGGTCTTGATGCTGCAAGTTGATCTTTATTCCTTTATTTTACAACACCGTTAAATACAAGACATATCCCCATCTTGGAAAATAGAAATTTCCAGTCTTAACACACCTTATAATTTGAGCATATGAATATTTTATGTTGGAAAGGACTGATATATACCCTTTCCAAAAGTGATGAATTTTCAGTGGCTTCACACTACTCATGAAATGTCAAACACTGTCAAAAAGTAGTCCTCATACATTCCATTCCACCATGAACTTATATAGGGGATGGTTGTCACATACTCAACCCTTTGTATAATAAGTTCACCTAATAATAGAAATAAATTGAATAAAACAAATTAAAAATTCAAACAATAGTTCTTCACCAACTTACTACCTGAAAATCTTCAAAAGGGGAGGAAAAATTTATAACAGGCTGTGAGTGTAATTAGGTGGTAACCCTGAGAAGTCTTGTCAGTAAAAAAAAAGCAATTGAATTATCATAAAGTAGCCATAACACTTGTTCAAAGTGGATAGGTAAGAAAAATGCTTTAGTAAACATTAGGAGAAAAAAAGAAAAATTAGGCTTGTTTGGTATTTTGATTTAATCATGTCTACTTTAATAGTGTATTTTATAAATAAGCTTCTTGAGAGCTTTATTTTTAACTCCATGCATTATCTAGTGATGCAAGTAATTTATTTTTCATTATCTAAGAATAAAAATAAGGTTATTTTGCTATTTATATAGCCTAATGTATTTACATTTGAGCACAAATGTTCAAATTTTATTTCTTAATTTAAACATTTAAACTTCATACAGATACTGAAATATGTTGGGCATATTTGCAAGTTATATTAATGTTTTATGATATACGTCTCTAGGGTGTTACGTTGGAAGACCTGAAGTCAGCAGAACAACAGTTATTACGTAAACAACAAGAGGAAGATGAACAAAAGGAAAAAGACAGTACAGAGCCAGTTGCTTCAATACCACTAACAGCATACACCACCACCACTACTGCTAGTAGTACATTGAGCTCAACAGTAGACAGGCAAGAGTCTTGCAGAATATCTACAGAAGGGGAAGAAAAGGTTGATATTTACAAAACCAATTTTTCAAACCTTATGTTCAGCTTTAACAGGAAATGATTCTACTTTTTTTCCATTATTCTTCAGACATCAAGATTTCTATGTACATTAAAATTTTGTAAAATCTTACTCGTTTTCTAAAATGCTACAAGTGCATTTTAGAAAAACAAATTCAAGTAACTAAAGTAAATGCCAGTTTATTCTGTGTATAATACAACAAATATTTTATTGATTAATGGAAAATGAATGAAATTTCTATACATAATGAAAATATTCTCCAGTATGTAAATGGTCTAAAAGTTAAGAATAGTACATTGTTACATATTACTAAGTGTATATACATTGTTGATTTATGTGTGCTGGATTGTTGAACTAGCATCTGAAATTGTTAAATAATCTACTGTTAATAAATAACTATAGGTGTATTTACAGTGTAATAATTCTTTATTGTAATTAATTATGAGTGTGTTTATGTTTGTTTTTAATCTTCTTCCAGTGTTTTCCACAAAATGACTTCAAATTTTACTTGTAGATTTTTGATGCCCACAAAGGAAAAAGTCATGAGTAGGCCTAAGAATTGTGGAGTTTAAAAGCTTATGAGGCCCTTAGAATTGACAGAATGGGTTTACTGAAAATTTATATTAATATGTAATTAATTCAAAACCATAATCTAAATCAGGACTGGATATAGGGGTTCACATGAAAATTGACATGAACACTTAAGGGACTATTCAAAACAAATATCCACATGTACATTTTCAAAATTTCACTAGTGGGTCACTAACAGATAATGAAAGGTTTTTTAGTGTTCACAGGATTGGGATAATTGAAAATAAACAAAACATGTAGGTGGTCATTCAAAACAAGCTGTGCAAAATTTTGATGTAGTATTTGTTGTGTCCCATGAATTCTCACAGATGGTTTATCATTTAAGGACTGTTTGAATTGTTATACATAAAAAGGTTAAAAAAAAGCTAAAGAGATCTTCATACTGACAGAAAATGAGTAAAAGGTAAAACAACAAATATCATTTAAATTTAAAATTGATTGGTTCAAGAATATGTTAAATATGAGTTATCATAATCTTGTACATTTATAATAATTAGAAATGGTAACTTGAGCAATCTCTCTATTGAACCAAGAAGTATATTAAAAATAATCTACGTTGTATAATTATTTGATTAGCTGTGTTGAATATTTATTTGTGAATAATAGCTTTTTTTTTATTTTATTTGTTTCCACTTATGCTTCGTTCAGAAAGGAATTTCTGAGATGTTTTCACTGCTGTGTTTGAAGTATTGAAAGTTGATAGGTTTGATTTTGTTCTTTAGAAAACAGTCTGTCATTTTCTTTGAGTTTGAAATTTCTGAGATGTTTTCACTGCTGTGTTTGAAGTATTGAAAGTTGATAGGTTTGATTTCGTTCTTTAGAAAACAGTCTGTCATTTTCTTTGAGATTGAAGTTCTCTTTCTTCTTCTATTTATCTTTATGTAAACATCTATCTAAGCATTTTACTGAAGTAATCTTTTTTTTATTTCTGACAGTAGATTGTGAAACAATTTCAAATGCTAGTTTAACATCACAGCATACATATATGATTTGAAAATATAATAATGTGTTTTTGTTTTAAATGTTTTGCTTACTCTGTAGAATATCGAATGTAGGTCCAGAACCAAACTGCAAAGAAATCACTTGTGGAGCACAAAACACCATTTACTTTATACAATGTAAAAACTGCAATCACCAATATGTAGGACATACACAAACAATTCTTAAAGAACAACCATAAATCTTCTATTAACACTAAAAATGATCTCTATGCTGCTCAACACTTTAAACAACCCGGTCATTTCATTAATACTGTTACTCTCATTGGTATTGAAACAGGATTCAAAACTAAAGCTGATCGAGAAATAAAAGCTTATTGGATCGCTAATCTAAACATTGTTCAACTGTTTGGAATTAATCTAGATCTTGGAATCAGTGATCTCTGACCATTGGTTTCATCTCTGTCAGAAAAATAATTTTTATTCTTTGCTTATTTCTTTCATTTAGTGTGAACCCTAACTTTTTATATATATATATATATATATATATATATTTAACCATTTGTAAAGTAAAATATCCCTTATACCTTTTCACATAACCCTCTTGTTGTCAACTCAGAAATAAGATACAACAGTACATGGAAAAATATACAAAACATTTCCTGGAAAACTTTATGACATCACTGAACTACCTTAAAATATCACTCATTTGGTTACCAGCATTCCCAGTTTGTCTCTGAAGAAGAAAGGTCCACCCTTTCGAAAGCACTTGGTTATAGGGTTTTTTATCATCTCTTCTCAAGACTTCTTGAGCCTATATATTTTTCTGACATCGTGAATTTGAAAAGCTGATTATATCCAAATGGACCACTATTTGATAATTTTTGGGTTGATAAAATAAGCTTATGAACTCTGATATACAGTTTACAGTAAAATACTTTAGTATTTCACATTGTGCATATACATACTTGCATATACATAAATCATTGCTGTTATTAGTAGGTTAATTTAATACTATTAGTGGTTAGTTTTAATTTGATTAGTTATCAATATAAACATCTTTCAATAAGTTTTCTTTGATACATTTTTTGTTATTCTGCAGCTTTTCAAATTATGAATGACACATTATAAAACATGGTTTACTTCTATAATTAATGCTGTAAGTTAAACTTACCTAGTGTTTGTTGAACAGACACCAGACGTAAAGCCCCAAGACATACCTTCTACCACAAGCAGTCCTGTTTTAACGACAGGTAGTGAAACAACTACAATTTGTACAAGCCAAGAACCACAAATCTGTATTGGACCTGATAGTCCTGAAGTTACTCATTCTGTTACCTTTCCGCTTCGCTCACGACCTGTCCATAATGAAGGTAAGAACAATATTTCTTCTGTGTAATCTTTTCAAAATATGAAGTTTTTGAACTTTGTTTTTTTTTATTCCATAAAATAATTTATTCTTGTTATTTTATTTTGTGTAATGAAAACCCTTCAGTTACAGCTAACAGAAATAGACAATTAGAAGTAAAATGTTTTATATAACAACATTTTTATTATTGTAGTCTGAACAAGTTTCTTAAACGTGTTTTTTATTAGATCCAGATAAAGATCATGAAAATAAAAATGCCCAAGGTACTCAGGCAGCAATACAGAGAAAGAGAAGACCAAAAAGAAGGTCAACAGGAGTTGTTTATTGGGATGCTGAAGTAAGTTAAAAGTTTATAAATAGTTTGGGGTCAGTAGTCTATTTGAACAGGGGTAAAAGTAATGTAGCCTATTTTAGTATACTCATGTTGTCAGGTAGAAATTTTATACTGGGTTGGATCTAGACAGGCTTTTCAACCCTCTCATTACAGATAGGCTAAAGTGTGTATGACATGACCTTTTACAGAGTTACATTAAAACTTTAGTTAAACTACTTTATTCTAAATGTATACAAATAAACTTGGCACCAAAACTTAATTAACTTTTGCTACTGGCTCAGTCAGTTCAACTGAGTTCATGGCCACCAGAGTTTCTGTACTATAACTTTGAATATGATTTTTTGTATTTTCACAAAATTTGGCAAACTTTCAGTAAACATTACAAAATATCATATTCTTTAATTAAGCATTTTTACTAAAACTTTCTCCATGAATATCTGGAGTCAAAGTGTTGACTGCTCTTGAGTGCAAAGTGATTTTCATGTTAACATTTAGAATTCTTTTCTTCATCTGAAAATTGTCAAATTTCGTTTGCGTAACTTCTAAAATCTCCTAAATAAATATCAAACGTTTTTCTTCAGTAAGACTATTTTATTTGTTATTTCCTCTACCCTAACTCTATATGCATTCAGTCAATTTGACTGACCTCATAAACACCATAAAAAAACAAAACAAAATATATTGAAATTATCCTTTTTTACTTTCTAGAATGACTACAAATTGTAACAGGAAACTACAGTTGTGTATCCTAAATTGCTTAAAGCTCATAACAGCTTACATCTGTTTCTACTTAAATATTATTCTTTTATTGCCCTTTGAACCACATCTAATTAATAATCCCACCACACAAGTTGTACATTACTCAGCAAACATGTAGCTTACATTACTATATCTAATTATGTAATTCACAAGCTTTTTTATTATTTTTTTCTATATCTTACCTAATCTAACCTTATCTCACCTCATAAGTTTCTAATTTTAATATATTAATTACTTTTATAATTACAAATAAAGAATACAAATGAAAAGGAAATGTAGTACTTACCTCGCTCCTTTTTTTTTCTGTCAACTGTTGATCACACTTAAGCCTAATTTTATAGTAATGATATTACTACACTAAACAATTTTTATTTAATTACATCCACCACCAAAAATGGATGGAGGTTATGTTTTCACCCCTGTGTGTGTGTGTTTGTCAGCAAGATTTATCAAAAAAGGCTGAATGGATTTAGACGAAAGTTGGTATACATTTGGACTGTGACCCAACTTAGAAGTGCTTAGTTCGGGAGGGTCAAAAGACAATGTCACAGCAAAGTCACAAAAGTAAAAAAATATCCCTATGTGTTAAAATGGAGACCAATTATTCACACTATTTTTGCTTTCTAATTTAGTCAGATTTTGATGAAACTTGGTGGGCATATGTGGAATATTATTCCTCATTGTACCTGCCAAAGATGGTTTGTATCTATTGATAATAACGGACATATGGATACATTCTGATATATTTTTCAGAGCTGAATATGATCAACACTGTGTGGTGGAGGTATGTGCTCTTCTGAGTGCTCCTGTTTTTAAATAATGCACTTAAGAACAACATAGACACAGAATAATAACACACAAAAAGCAAACAATATTCTATACCTATCATAATTTTTTTGGCTTTCTAACTATGCATTAAGAGCCTTTAAAAATTCAACTTAGCTGGACAATGTGATTCATGTGTGAACAAATTTGAACCTGAACTAAGGAAGAAGACAATTCTCTGTACAGAAAGCAACATAATATAATATGTAATTTGATAGATTATGACTTTGACCTTTTGTTGGTCAAAGTAACATAGTAACTTTTTTTCCTATGGACATCTTTCCTTCTCCCTTATAGAATGGGTCCTTCGATTCATCCACTGACATGATAATTTCAGGATGTGGATTCTCACAGACTAGTTCCCTTTTTTTCACATTCAATTCATCACCGTTTATATTAACTTACATCTCTTCTCTAAAGACCCTTGGTGTGTGGACTCTCTCTACACATTCATCTCCTTCTCTACACCTACTGTCTATTTTATCTTCAGAGGATTTCAGCTTTCATACGTTGCTATTTTTCAATTACCCCACCATCTTTGAGAAGAATACCTACCATTTATCTTTCAGAGCTTCTCTTTCTTTACATAGGAAACTACTAGGTGGCTAGTGTTGCCTTCCAGGGTATACATATCTAAAATCTGAGCCAGGATAACAGAAAACACTCATACCATTCACCCTAGCTCTACATGTACCCACTGTGAGAATATATATATATATATATATATTCAACTTATTGTTTGATCCAGATTTTATATATTCCATGGACTATCATGGAAAAAGCAAGCACCAGAGAGGTGTTTCTGCCCACTTCTCTGTCTTTTGCTTGCTGATTTTAACTATAGGGTTATATGGTCATCCAATGAATTGTATTCAGCAAAATATCTTTCCAGACTGAAGGACAGACAGGGATCTGGGCACATTTTCCAGGTCTACACCAATGTGATTCTTCCCCTTTCTTTGAATGGATTATTGAAGACCCTTGCCACTTACCAGTTTCTAGTCACTGGGGTGGTAGACCATGGAGAATCCTCACCAATTGGGACCTAACTGCTGAGGCTAGAACAATAGGCAAAAGTACATCGAGAAATGGGGCAGTGGGTGTGTTGTGTTGGTCACCCCACATATAACTCAGATAAAGCACTCATGCCACACATGCCCTACTTCTGTAGCCTAAGCCTGTTTAGTAAAGTTGATGTGTACACACACACACACTACACATGGGCCAATCCTGCATAATACATTGTCATTGAGTAGAGGTGAGCAGTCACTATACAAAACCAATAAATATACATATCTCACTTGTTCACCTCCTGAAGCCACTGGCTGTTCAGTAGAGTCAAAATGACCACACTATGCACTGGATCTTATTACAAATGTGTCCTACTCCTGCAACTGGTGTAAATCCCATAGAGTCTGACAGTAAAGTTAAAGTGAGCACCCCATACACATCCATGATGTATCTCTATGGCATTGAACCCGTAGAGACTAATGGTTGAGTTAAGGTATATTAGTATCTATACTATATACAATAACACGCCCTCCTCCTGCAGCTGGAGTAAGTCCTGTAGAGTCGAATTGTAGAGTTGAGGTGAGCATAAATACTTATCACAAGTGCCTTCCTCTGCACAGCTGGTTCTGACCTGTCAAGTTGGATAATAGAGTTTAGGTGAACACGCAAGGTATGGTCTAAACAAGCCCTAACCACATTACACATATTGGCTGTCTGACTTGTGTGAAAGTACTCAGACAGCTATGTACCGATTCTGCTCCTTCATATGACACAAATTTGGCTTCTATGCCTCTTCCCTTTTCTTATACGAGCAAAAAGTATACTCTGGATGAGAAGTGATGTGGTCTCCTATAAGTGTGCCCCTATGAAACCTCTACAATTGGGTGTGACACCAAATGGGCATCATTCAGATGCTTTCTAAAGGGCGATCATCTAGGTAAATTTTGCACTGGTCCCTCCACCATATAACATGGGATTTTAGATAATATGTGTGTGGAGGGTAGTTATTATCTCAGAAGTTAACATTATCTGAAAATGTATTTCTGATAGATACTTCCCTCCGCACACATTCCCTCCCATCATCCCTACTTCCAGCATACATTTTCTTACTTGCCATGTCAAAGAATGAAGATTCACAAGTGCAAATGCATAGGGGAGTTAGTGCACATGGAGGTGTGTTGCCCTCCTATTCGTGGAGGACTTTTGTCACTTTATGACATCATCATGCAGTGACACAGTTCATGGGAAATTAGGTAGGAGTTGCCTCAAGGCTAGTGGCATACAAATATATTTGGCAGATGTGCTTAGAAGATTATCTATCAGAATTTCCTTTTTAGGAGAAGAAAACGTTAACTTTCAACAAAGTTTGATCATTTTTTGACACATACTTATCAAGATAAAATATCCCTCTGTTGGATATACAAGACTGTTTAGCTTAATAGTTATTTTTTAGTTTATTTAGTGATTAATGTTTATTGATTATTTAGTTTTCACAACAAGAGTGTTAAAAATAATTATTTTAAAAGTGATAGTTATGACAAGAATTGTTACACAACTTGTGTGATTGTTTTACTAGGCTTTAGCAATTTTGTTGACATCATGAATCTTCAGTATTTTTCTCATTACCCTAAGTGAGTATTGTTCCATTATAGTGTCGTGTAGTATATAGAAAGTTCGAGACTGTGTGGACTTTTAATGAAAAAAAGAAAAGAGACAATTATTTAAAACTCTGGATACAACTTTGGTAACCAACAAGTTTAGTGAGGTTAAGTAAAAGTTAAGATAGTGAAAGTGAAGTTAGACTGCATGATTGTTAGTTTAGCCATAATGGCCGATATTTTAAAGAGAGTTTCACAGTTTAACAGAGACAAGGAGAATAATTTGTCTTGTCAGAGGGTGTTCTAAAGTAACTGAACCTTCATGTGTGGACTTTGATTAAAAGGAGACAGTTATATAAGATTCAGGATACAACTGTGGTAATCCACAAGGTAATGTAAGTGAATTGTTCCCTGATACTATTGTGATAAGAGTAGAGAAAAATAATTCCTCTTGTCAGTTGGATTATAAAGTAATTGAATCAGCATGTATGAACTTTTAATTAGAGAAGAGAATTATTTAGAGTTTTAGATACAACTGTGATATACTGTAGTATAAAGAAATTTTGTACGTATGTTTGACTTGTTTTAAATATATTATTTTAAAACAAGGGGATTGTTGCTGTCAGTTTAATGTTCAAATTTTATCGCTAACAAGTCACAGACACCTACTATAAAGAATTCAAGTCCACATATACTTAAAACCCTGACATCCTCTAGCCAAAAACAGTACAAGCATCTAAATTTTAAAAAAAATTATATCCTGTGATAGTAGTTTTGTTATGTCAATAACAAAACTCATTATGTTTCTTAGTTCATATAGTTTGTATGTGATACTGGGTCAACAATAATGATGGCTTTAAATGAGTTTTTGTTTTCTTTTTAAGGAGAAAGGCCAGCAACAGGGTTGTTCAGACCAGGAACTGCAACAGGAAGATGATAAAGGAGGTGAGGAGTCTCAGGAATCAGAAAATGATGTAAAGGTCAGAGTTTATTAAAAAATTATTTAGAATTATACATTTTTAGTTCTTTTTTATCCCTTGTACCATATTATATGACATCAGGTTATGTTGAGTAGCTGCCAACATGTTTCATTTTAATGGAATTGAAGACCATTTATGAAATTGAGTGTATCATTTATTTGTGAGAAATATCTTGTAGATTGTAACTTGGCCATCTCTGATGGGTCTGGCATGGCCAGGTGGTTAGGGCACTTGATTCGCAATCTGTGGGTTGCAGGTTCGAATCCCATCCCACCAAACATGCTCACCCTTTCAGCTTTGGGGTGTTATAATGTGATAGTCATTCCCACTATTCATTGGTTAAAGAGTAGCCCAAGAGTTGGTGATGGGTGGTTATAACTAGCTGCCTTTCCTCTTGTCTTACACTGCTAAATTATGGATGGCTAGTGCAGATAGCCCTTGTGTAGTTTTGTGAGAAATTCAAAACAAACAAACAAACCCATCTCTGATGAAGAAGTAATTATGAGTGTATTAAGATTTTATATATGTCTGATACAGTCCTTGCACATAATAAAATTTTTAAATTGTATGAAGTCACAAGTTTATCATCTTTTTTTTTTTTCAGGGTCATTCCATGTCAAATCACTAAGCAAAAAAAACCATTTTGTCACCCAACATCTCAGAATTGGACAATTTTTTAACTGATGGTACCTAGCTATTGGCTAAGTACACCTGCAAATTTTTTTGTACAATTCTTTCTCCTTCCGGAAATAGAAATATTAGAATTTTAACTCAAATGTGTTTAAAAAATTGCTCGTGGTGGCCATTTTGGATTTTCACAAATACCCTATGCCGTTGTAATTATTTTCATAATGTTACCCAGATTTTTATTGAAATTGGATCAAGATTATCCCTCCCCCTAATTTGTGTATAAGGAATCCAAATATGAAAACAGCTTTTACTTATATCCTAAAACAATACCCCCAGTTACCCTTTAAACCTCCCCTACTATAAAATTTTAAGAATTACGAAAGGGTTCATGCCATGTTTTTGAAATTATTGGAATCCAATGTTTGACAAACTTTTCAACACCAAATTTGTAGCAAATATTCTTCAAACCATGTAGTTTACTATATTAAAGACCTTAGCTGGTTTTTTTTGTTCCAAAGTAATAGTCCTCTGAAAATTGACTAAATTATAAAGCAGATATGCCTAAATTCTATTTCACATGATATATTGATAATTGCTGTTTTATTTCAAAGAGTGCTTAAAACTATATTGAGGTTAATTCTATAATAAAACTGAATATTATCTACAGAAGTTACAGAAGATTGATGCAATTCTAAAGTCAGTTTTAATAGTATTAATTGTTCTCTGTTATCACTTTTATAGGAAAAAGGCTAATTTCTATTCACCAAATTATTGTACAGTCAGTATTCAACTATGTAATGAGTAATTTCTTTGTTAAAGGTGTTGAATGTTTGCATAATCCATTGAAAGGGACTTGTAATAACACTTCCTGAAGCATTGAGCTAATGAATGAATCAGGATACAACATTTACTCATATTTCTTTCTATTGAAATAACAGTTGTCATTGACACATTTACATACAACTTATTTATGAATGCATTTAGTCACTCATTTCATCAGTTTTCTCATCTAATTAAATATTTCACAAGACCAACCAATGCTTGTCTTCCTCTTTAACATAAATAGGGTCAACTGTTCATTCATTATATTCATATCTTTTCTTCGTAGCTTAACTTCTTATTCTAAATTTGAAAATGTGCTCTTATGAGGACTGTACAATTGCCAGGATTCTTTCAGAAAATTGCCATTTGCTGGACAATACAAGAGCTACTGGATCGAAATCTGTTCATAGTTATGATGCTGAGCAAATTGAGGTATTAACGTGAAGAACAGGCATTACGTTTAATGATGATTAAACAATATGTTTACATCATGATCAAAAACTATTATTGATGTATGTTCAACTTCAAAGGAAGTGCTGCGATCCATTTAAGAAGCACAAGAAAGCTGTGAAGTCTTCTTTGAGGGACAAAAGTCTGGAACTGGCAAACGGTAGAGCTGCTAACAAACACATTGTACCTGAGCAAATGTTATGCCCGTTGTGTTGTGTTAGCATCAACGATTGTCTCAAGAAAAAAAAAAGAATATTTTTCCTCGGAAGAGAAAGATGATACTACACAACCTGATTTTTAATGTGACTATTCTTTTGATTCTAACAGGGAAAGTTTGGATTCATCATTACTTGAGATGGATATTAGTCCCGTTAAGCTTCACTCAGTGACATCTCATTAAAAAATCTCATACAGGAAGCGAAAACTAAAACAAGTAGAGAAAAAAGGTAGAAGAGCGAAAATCGACGATAAGGAATCAAGTTGCTGATTTCATTCAAATCCCACCAGAATCTTTGGAAATATAGAAAGGAACTTCTGGACAAAATATTGCCATAATGGAACAGAAAAGTGAGGATCTGGACTCATGGATTTTCTTGATGAATGAGAAATTGAAAGTTTCAGACTGGGTCAGAAAAATTTTAATATTGACAATAATGTGACCTTCGTGGTCAATCAAGCAAACAAGTGAAATTTTTAATGTTTCAGAATGCATTGATTATGCTTAAGAAATAACTAAAACGTTATAGTAGATACAAGAGAATTCTCTGATTTGTGTATATATAAAATCATTATTACTTTGTATTGTACTCCGATCCTCAACAGTACTATAATTTTTGGAATGCTCCTCTTTCTCCTGTAAAAACAAAGGTCAACATCAACACAGTTCACGAGGTATTTAACTGTTTTTTTACTTAGAATATGAGCGGGAACAACTTTAGTTCAGATGAGTAGTGTTGCTGCTTGTTTAAAATGTTGGTAGCAGGAAACGCACTGCTCATTCTGTACCTTTATCTGCTTTCTACGGCTTTAACATCGTTGAAGCTACTTAGTGCCCCAGAAACATTTTAACGTGACTAAGCTGAATAAGCGATATGAAGTAAAGATAACGACAGATGTGGTACATGAATGATAGCTCGCACTCAAACAGTTATAACGTATTCAAGTTGTTTCCTGTTGTTTCAGGGATATATTTACCAGGACCGTTGCTGAGATTCGTCGTTAATGTTTAAACGCTCTATCGTGTTATCAGGTGACCTAAGGTCACTCTAATGTTTAAATGTGTAATGTGTTATCAGATGACCTAAGGTTACTCTAATGTTTAAACGCTGTAATGTGTTATCAGATGACCTAAGGTTACTCTAATGTTTAAACGCTGTAATGCGTTATCGGACGACCTAAGGTTACTCTAATGTTTAAATGCTGTAATGTGTTATCAGATGACCTAAGGTTACTCTAATGTTTAAATGCTGTAATGTGTTATCAGATGACCTTAGGTTACTCTAATGTTTAAATGTTGTAATGTGTTATCAGATGACCTAAGGTTACTTAGGTCATCTGATAACACATTACAGCGTTTAAACATTAGAGTTACTCTAATGTTTAAATAGTGTAATGTGTTATCAGATGACCTAAGGTTACTCTAATGTTTAAATGCTGTAATGATAGGAACTGAATGCTCTAAAATCAATAGTTATAACGTGACTGGACAGATCTCGCCCAAGTTACCCTAATGGTAATAAACTTGTTTAAGGTTATAGAAGCCTAATAACATGGCTAACATTCAGTGAAATAGATGTTCGACCATTTTCTTAAACATAATGTTCCATTCATATCATGAATTAGTTTCTATCAATATTTTCTTATCTAAGAATTTGCCAGATAACTAGCTTTGTTTGTTGGTTAACCTCGTAAATTACCAGCATTTTATTATTTATATAATAACCAAAGGCAATGATTTTTTGATTAGTTACCACAAGGCAAGATGTTTTGTCTACTAGAAAAATGCGTAAACAGCGTTTTGTACACGAATTTAATAGAATAATATTTTTCTTCTTCTTCTTCTTATTATTATTATTTTGGTAGCATGTATTTCAGTATCTATGTACGTAACCAAAACCCCTTGCGCCATCTATTGAATGGCACCACAAACAAAAATTCACAAAAAAATTTCATAGTTTGGGTATTCAGGATTCAAACAATTAGAAAAATAACTGTAGTGTATGAGTAATATTTAAGAAAATTTTGAGCTCTGTACATTGAATCATTTTGATGCAATGAGTTGCGTATGACTAAAGAGCACAATCCGAACACTTTTCCCGTGCAGTACTTCCCAGGACAAAAAATCCTTCTTTTTTTTTTTCTAAAATTTTTTCAATGAAGTATAAAAACTGCCATGAGACAAACAACCGCCCGTATGGTGGCATTTCTGCTAGTAGAGTTTAACACTCGTATAGCAAGTTAATTGATATGCAATTGAATTACTAGGGCTACTTACGTGGTGAATAAACATATCAATTCGATTCAATAAATAGTTCTTTAAAACTCGTGTCGCAGGATAAACAATATTTAATTGAATTATTAGGATTATTTATGTGACGAGTAACTAGTAGCTCAATTAAAATTTAATATAATATTATTTTTAGTACTAATTAGATATTAAAAGTTCCTTCTTTTTTTGGTAAATTTATCAATACATCACCAAAGAAGAAGTTCGTGTTAGCAGTTCGTTATTGGCTGAATTTTAAGGTTATCTTTCACGTGACTAACATCAGGTGTAAGATGAAAAGTTTTCGTGAAAATTGTTTATCGAAGCATATATGAACTCAATAAGTGATTTGTACACTTTCAAAGACAGTGTTATAAACGTAGAGATATGTATCTACATCTCTTGAACAATATAATAAACATTTAGTCAATATTAATACAATCCAAAATAGCTTGTTTCAATCATGAATACTCATAGATAGTGAAAACATAGAGGTTTAAACATAAAAAAACCATTATAACTCAGATCTTAACGAAGGCTCCAATCCAAAGGTCAAAATGTTGTCCATCTCAAAAAGCATGATTAAAATTGTTCAAAGAAAAATTTAATCCTA